CACACTCCGTTTAGTCAGTTGCAACGTCGCAGGTATAAAACATACATTTAAATTCAATCCTCATTTGAGCCAGGAACTATAGGGGATGTGTTCTGAATGTAGAGGGATGTGTAATGAACTTTTTGTTTAGTTTGAAAATTGCGTAGTAATGATTTAGACTCTGAATAAATTCGGAAAATGTGACAAGAATCAGTATATGTAAATCATAAGGAAGGTTAAGCCCACAAAGAAACCAAGGGTAGACACGCATGCTTAAGGGTAATATGTAGCACAGAAAATTCCAAGTAATAAAACAACCCTGTCAAAAAGTCCTGGGGATCGAACGTAACCCAAAGAAACCAATGAGAATTGCAAATGTGCAAAAAATTATGACGATTATTTCCTTGGCTTCCATCACCAAAGCCTTTCGGATCAATAGTCAATGACAAGTTTACAAACTCTGTGTTTTGTCGAATTTCTTTAGAATAAAATTATTTGATCGACGGTCATGCTGAATATTCCAGTTGATTTGGCAACTGAAGAGAAACCTGACTTGACATGCACTTGTACCGAAGCCAATTCAACACTGCCGCCCCCCCCCGTCTGATAGCGTAGCCGAACAGTAGACGACCTCGCCGAATACTTAGCACCAGTCGACCTTGGTCCTAACCATAGTCGGGGTGTTAGTTAGCCTCTACCCACCGTGCTCTACGAGGCTTCGGGAGGCGGCTGGAAAGAGTGGAAATCGGCCAAATAGAGAGGTAACATGCTGAGGGAGTTGGTCCGCGCTTAGAGAACAGTTTGCCGCACCTGCCGAATACTTACTACCAGTCGACCTTGGTCCTAACTATAGTCGGGGGTGTTCGGGAGGCCATATTCGGCTATGTGTAACAGGGACTTTAGTTGCTACATTTACGTTAGTGTCGGATATCGTACCCAGAAGAAGATTAGGTACAGGTATAGTACCGCCCAGAAATTACATTAAACCTCTCATATCTCAATGATGGATCAGCAGTACCTTTTGAAAATTAGTGGCACATACGGGCACATGAAGTACAAATAAACGGTCGTTTATTGTTTTCCCGCCCTTAACATCACATGATCCTCCCACTCCTTCCGTTCTTCTTGGAAAAGTGGCACATCCCAGGATCCAGCAAGGACAAAGAACAGGTGTTACAACTATGCCAAAAAACAGTTACTCAAGCAACTGGATATGATTTTGAAAACGTCAGACGTTTCAGCTAGTATCCACTAGCTTTCGTCAGTGACTGAGAGACCAGAGGGGAAAGCAGGTTTATATACACAACCTGTTGATTGATATGCAAATAAAGTGAAGACAAATTTACAACTAGCCTCCTGTGCAGTACAGGCGATAACATGACATGTTCGCGCCACTCCTTCCCAAACATTGCCAGTGGCACATACGGGCACCTACAAGTACAAAAGTAATTTCTTTCTTCTTCTTCTGTATCGGAGTTCTGGTGGTCCAACGTCAATTTATTTTTTTTAGACCGGAGCCTGTATCAAATATAAAGCCGAGGCGAACCGCCCCCCTCCCCCATGATCGCGACCCACATGGGTTTACGGAAAAACCGATCCAGTCCAACAGGCGGAAAAACCTACCCGGTCTGAGAAAAAGGTCTGCTTGGGGTCTAGGCCTGCTTTTATAGTCCAAATAACCACTATTCAAGAAACTTCACTGTGTTGAGACAACAGATATCACCTGAAGGTGTGGCCAAACACGTAAATTTGTCCATGCGCCCTTATTAGCTACTTCTAGTAGCTACTAGTAACTGGACGGTGGTACCGCTGGACATCCCACTCGACAAAATCTCTGACTTGGAGTTTAAATTGCACCTCCATTATGACATGCTGTCTCTGGAAAATTGTTTTGTCACATGGATCTGACGTCATTCGAACAGAACATGTTCCATTTGTGGCATTTTGGTCTACGCTGATTGGTCGATTGATGAGAAGTTTATTGAAAATCCATGTCCAAAGGCTAATTGCAAGTTACAAACCTAAAAGAACTTTGAAACAGAGTATAAAATAACTTCAAAATGTTCACAATGAAATCTAATATATATGTCTAAAACTATGTCTGAAGGGTTTGACTTCTCTTCTGTAAACCATGGAAGACCTAATGTCCCACCTTTTCTAATGTGGTTAAAAGAAGAAGACTTTTTCTGTGCCCAATTTGTTTAGGGGTAAATAAGGCCTATCAGTATCAGTGTACACTTTCTTTAAAGACCAAGGTTGTACTATATATGTACCAGACCTGCCTGCCTACCAGACCCCACCCCCCCCTCCACCATAAAAGCGGCGTAATGTAAACTGAGGGCTCAGTCGTCTCTCAACTGTCACCGGAGTCACATCGGGGAGAGCGTTGAGATCTTGTGTAGTGATATTTCATAATTACGTGAGGCTTTAGACACACATGTAATCCAAAATGATAGACAACCATATGGAACACGAAAAATTACAGCAAAAAGACAATTTTCTAGGCCATAACAAAGCCCAATGCCCTCCAGAAAACGGGACCAGTCATGGCCCGAAACGCTACAAAGTCCCGGGCGGTGAACCAAAGTGCCGACCCCCGTGACATTTTCCGTGTCATTTCGGTGGCCAACAGACAGTCTTTCCAGTCGAAGCTCTAGTTTATCCCTTGTTTTGACATTATGTAAGATAAGAAAATTGGAGTACATGAACTATTTTAGCGATTTTGTCCAGCTTGGACACTTTTCTGGTCAGATTCGGACACTTCAGCTTGATAGTTTGTCCACGCGAATATATAGAGAAAGTCCGACTTGGTCTATACAGCGATCGAAACCCCTGACTCGCGATCGAAGCGAAGGCAAAATTGTCCAGCAGTCACAAGATTCTTCATTATGCCGCTGGTTTTGAAAATCTCTGACTATTAGTTGTGATGTTGTAAGCTAACAATGACATAAATAACAGAAGAATAAGTACTGTGGCAGAGGCAAAGGATAGAAAATATATAACGTCAGCCCCGATCTGCAACAAAGAACGTTACCTGCGTAAAATAGGAGTAAACCTCGAAGATACCTGCTTGAATACTTCATATTACCTCGCTTTTTTTCAAACGCTGACACTAAGGGGACTGTCTGTCGTAGAAACGATGTTTTCAACGGCCTAACGTCGCAGCCGTCTTTGTAAATTGCTTCAAAATGCTTCAAAATTTCAAAAGCTTGCTGTAACGGTCGTGATATGCAAATGTCTTCCTGTTTACAAGTCAAAGGTCGTAACCCCTGACCTAAGCTGACACCCCTGGTCTCATCCTTCACACCTTCGAACCGGCAGAACAGATAAACAAATGCCTACATCATTCAAAAACAAAACAAAAAAAGACTTACCTCAACTTTGCACTACCGAGTCAACATTTGAACAATACCTCTATTACAGTATATTTGATACTAGTAGTAAGTAGTATTGTCTAAGACGGGAGGCAAGACATTGAAATGGAACTTACCTATTATCCGAATTTACATGCTTATTTTCGCGCGCAAATTTCGTGATAGTGAAGTTCATGTCTGTGCCTTTATTGCGAACAACCGTACAAGTAATAAAGATGAAATGATAGAAAGCATACTACTACTACTGTGTGATACAATATAGCTCTCTAAGATGGGTTGTTGGCCCTGAAAAGGGCCGGTGTAATATTCTCCGGACTCCGCCGCACGCCTCAGACCCAGCGGTGCCCCATGTAGGCGACGCCTGGAGGGTTGGGGTACTTGCTCCTCACCAGCTTTACCACACACTTGGGCATGATCTCTCTGATAGACCCCCGCGCGGCGATGACAAGCCTCCTGCGAGGTGCCTCCAGCGCCGAGTCTTGGGCCATCCGTGTGTGTTTCCTTGCCAGGTAGCGTGGGTCATTCCAGGGAGAGGGCATGAGGTTGGCCATCATGCCCCAAAAGTTCTTATACATGTCGCGGCGGATGGCTGCGTTGTCGACACAGGCAGCCTGCCCTACCAACCACAAAGGAACAGGAGTGGTGATACAGGGCCGACACAAACAGTATCGGCACTCCTCCTGTTCCTCTGCCTGTGGGATCAGGGCAGCTGCCGGTTCAGCGGGTGGGGGTGACTCTGGGGGCTGAGGGTCTGCCACCGGCTCCTCCGGAGGCTGATGGTCTGCCGCCGGCTCCTCTGGCACTTCTTGCCCTCCAGCGACCGGTCCCTCCTGGTGGTCAGTGTGAGGACCGCTGTAGAGGATGGTGACCTCATCTTCCTCCATCTCAAAGTGACGGATGAAACCCAGGATGTCTGATTCCCTGTCAGGGGTAAGGCACAGCGAGAGATGTCTCCTTTCCGCCATCGTCCAAAGAACAGTCGTCGACTGAAGAATTTTGGCGCGAACAGGAAGTAAATGAGGAGTCTTCCGCTATTTTGACCTTTCACGAGTAGGGTGTCATATATGACACGAGAAACCTCTCGTGGACAATAGTTTTGTAGGATCGAGGTCATACAAATGAAAGTCAAAATATGTATTTCAACGAAATAAAGAAAGAACATTTTCAAATCATGACTACTTTCATTTATTTCAAAAAATTACAAAGGACAGTAATCATAGTTTCCAATATTCATGGAAAAAAGTTACTTCCCATAATTCTTCAAGCTTGTCTGGATACAAGAAAAGGCGCCAATTTTAGTTTTTGTCATCAGTCATACTCGGTAAGGCAATGGCGGAGGGTGGCCAGGAATCAAGGCCACCGCTTGCGTCCCTTAGCGGGAACTGCCCTCTTCCGACGACGCGGAAAAGGAAGTTACTGACGGGTGCTACATCGACTACTTCCAGAAATGTTCGGAAAACGTTGGAGTGCATGTTTCCCGGAACCCCAGAAGAAGCCGCAGCCGAGAAGGCAGAGATGACCGAGAAAATCAGCCAGGTCAAAGTGCTGTTGGGGGGTGAGAAGGAGGCTACCACCAAGGACATGATAATGGCTCTGTTAGACCATTATCTGACCTCACACAAGCCCTCCTCCGCGTCTTTACCACCAATTTTGCCAAAGTATCAGCATATCTCTGAGGAAGACAGAGATCGCGAGGATCAGATGCTGTTTATCACCGCAGAGTACTCTCTCCGCTATCTGATCTCCAACCTGCACGAGCACGCCCGACGGTGCACCGAGAAGCAGAAGGTGCGCTCCCTCCTTCGTGCCGGGCACACGGCTTGCGTCACTATGCGCTGCAAGAAAGGCCATGGTTTTATGTGGACTTCATCGCCACACATTGGGAAACCTTTCCTCGTGAATCTGAGGTAAGAAGTTACATTGTCAAAATAGGGAAGAGCGATTATGCCTAAAGTGAAAATGTCGACGGTTGGAATTTTTATGCTACAAATGAGTCACGTCAGGTAGTAGAAATACAAATAATGTTGGGGAACTTGGGGATGTAAACACCCCGATGACATTCGTTTGGTAATAAAAGTACGTAATAATACCAAAGCAGATGTGGGAGGGAGCATTCTTTGTGCGCATTTGACGTAAGTTGAAACCTACCGCACAATCGCGGCCCCGCCCCGCCCCCACAGAAAAAAAAACAACAACGAACGCCAACTTACTTACCGGTCCCTTATCATTACAAGTCATGAAATTGCGTCTGAAAACATGAAGAAACAACATTTTTTTGTGCCGATCCGGTTTCATTGTATGTCCATCACCTCTTGACCTACTAGTACGTAGATTTGTAATGACGTCATACCCAAGCAGATGTGAGAGGGAGCTTACTTTGTGCGCATTTGGTAGCGTTTTGTCAGGTTGCGTCTGGTGCGGAGAAGCAGGTGAACTAAAATGGCTTTGTCTAAAAATAGAAGCACGGAACTTCTATAATTAATAACATATCCACTTGACTGTATTGTACAGTAAGGTATCTAATGGTCGTTTGACTGTGTCTTCTCTTTCCTATCATGTCAGAATGGCGCATGGATACATGTCCAGTGGGATGCTACCCAATCAGTACAAACGGCTGTGTGCCAATGCTGGGATTGGGCAGATTTCTGACGTCAACCTGAAAAAGTGTAAGAAACTTATTTTGCTTTATAAACTGTCACCTACATGCACTTGGTAGAAAATCTGTTACAGACATGTCAACAACTATCAAGATGTTCACCCACCATAATACAGTAATTTCATATTTTCCTTGTGTACAATTCTAATTGAGTATCTGTCAAAAATCTATCATTCTCATCTCAACAGTATGTTCACATCTAACAGATCAATATATGGCAGCAATTAATTGAAATTCATTGTATAAGAAGAAGACAAATGCTTGTATTGATTATTCTAAAACTTTGTACAAACGTGTTAGCATTTATAGTATTGTGCATGCCTGGACATTAAATACTAGTAGTACATGGAGGTACTTACATCTCAGTAACCATACATTTGATAATATAACAATCCTTCTGATAAAGAAGGCTATGAAAAATATGGGCAAACTGTTTTTCTATCCTTTCCAGCCATGATACTGTATGGAGAAGTGGTGGCTGAACAAGCAAGGGCATCCATGCAGGATGCTATGGATGAAGTAAGTCATTCATCCTTCTATTAGAGGGTTTTGTTTGGAAGGTTGTGATTATATCAGACAAATCATTTCCAAGCTAGGTTTGTGACAGTGTAGGTAAGAAAATAATTACAACAGTAAATACGGTATGTCATCTTGCAGGATGACAACAGGTGACTTGGATGAGGGATTGTTGATCTGTATGGAATGTGGCAGGTTAAACAACATAACAACTGATACTACACCACCATATCTTAAAAAAATCAGGGCTCGGAATAATTGTTCATCATGCAGGTTAGTGCAGATAAAATTGGGGCTGTGTAAGTTGTCTTGATGTCTAACTGCACCTAACCTGCACCGGTCCATGTACTGGGTATATGCAGGTTAGTGCAGGTAAAATTGGAGCTGTGCAGGTATTTCTGATGCCTACATGCACCTAACCTGCACTGGTCCATGTACTGGTTATATGCAGGTTAGTGCAGGTAAAATTGGAGCTGTGTAGGTCTTCTTCATGTCTACCTGCACCTAGCATCCACAAAGAATTTTCTAGACTTTTTAGAGCCATGTTCAGGTCCATAACTTTTCTGAAATGTCATTCTCACAGGAAATTGGTGACCAACCAGGACGAACACTATCGATAGTGACCGATGCCCGACATGCACAACGACGAAACTCCTACAGGTCTGACATAATGGCGCTTGGACAAAAGTAGGTCAACATTGCCAGTACATGTACATTTTTCAATGATAGTATCCATCTACATATGTCACAAGAAAGAGAACTATGCAATGAAGATTGCTTTCATGTGTACATAATTACTACCTATCTACAAATACAATGGCAGTACTGTTCTTTATCTTGAAATTCTTTTTTGCTATCTTTCCAGCAACCACAAGGTGCTTGCCTATGCGCCTGTGACCAAAGAGGAGCAGAGGTCGAGCCAAAAACATGAGATGTATGGGACAACTAAACTCTACCAGCAGTTCGATGAACTTGGTTTGTATTACTCAATTATTCAATTACAATCTGTCATATTATACATGAACTAATGTTTAGTGTAAGCAAGCAGATGTACAGATATCATGTGAAACAGATACACGTGTTATCCCAGCCATTACTTGGTGATGGTATTTCAACATATTGGCTGTCTTCTTGTGTTGTACCAGGGGTCCAGATTGCTGACCATGCGCATGACAGAAACCACACCATCAACAAGTTCATCAAGGACAGGCCACCATATGCCGATGGAACCCGGACCTCCAACTCTAATGATACCTGGCATGGTGAGAAAAAACAAATCTGTCATATTCATGGAAAAGTTAAATCATTCAACTACAATATTTACAGCTTCAAATCTATACATGTATCATGTTGTATCAACTACTGGTATGTCATGTTCAAGATCCCCACTCATGCTCCACAAGTCATGTTTTAGCCAGCGTTACCGGGTACTTTGAAACTGTTGCTGGCAAAGGAAGAAGGGTGTCATAGATGATATGCAAATGGATCTTTTCTCTGTCGAAAAACATCATCTATAGCCATATATTGAATGTCGAACGTGTCGAATGCGATCCCCTACCACCAATCTCTACTTCTCCGATACAAACCGACCCTCTGATCCACATGCCTCACTTTCAATATACTAGAAGCCAGGCCGGCGGCAGCACCATGCAACTATATACCATTGTCAGTCTGAAGTCGGCCCTAGCTTTCCGCTTGCAACCTAAGACTTGTGTTTTGAACCCTGTGTTGCTAAGTGGTGTTATGCAATGTGTGGTCTTAGTCTGTTGTTTTAATCTCATGTAGAAGGGTAAAATCTTCTTGTAAGTACATGGCTGGTAAGAAGATAGAAATTCTATTAATATTAGCTGTATGCACTGATTAGCTGCTTGTATAAATCTAAAAATAAACAGTAGCATCTGTATCTGTATCTGTATCTGTATAGCCCGTATAACCACCCTTTGGCATAACACACCAGCAAAGCCATATTGCACTACCAGGTAGCATTATGCTAAACCTTAGGTGGAATGTACTAATTAGATGATGATGAATAAAATATCAGATGCTTCTTACTCCATCTACCACAGCTACAAAGTCTATTGCGAAAAAGTTTCGCAAAGTGGCAAGTGGGGCCCGGAGGAACCAGGGTGTGACATGGCATCCACAGTTGGCCGACAAAGGTACAGTGTATTTCTATCTATCTTTTTTTTCTGGAAAAACATACTCTATTCGCATTTTTAACAAATTGATATGCAGTACTACTTGAATATGTGACCTAACATTTATAACAAGATATATTTTTGATACCCGAAAAAGTTGACAGCAGGAATTGGATTTCATCAAGGACTAATAATGAACATAAAAGGTCATTTGTACAACGCAATCTAACAAGGCAATTCTACCTGTAGGTGCAGCTGTGAAGACACATTTCTATTGGTCGATGGCCGGGTGTGGCGGAAGTGAACAAGCACTGCAACAGTCTCTCCTGAATATTGTTGACCACTACAAGGTGAGTCTAGCTTTTAGGTCTGTGAAAAAATAAGATATGCTTAATTACAAAGTGTAGTAAATGTGATACTTCTAAATTCCTATACTTGCTGGGAAAGACAAGTGATCAATTAAAAATATTATAGATGATTAGGGAGTAGGCCCTAACTCTCTCAATTGTTGTAAATTTAATTCAAAACCAGCAGCATAAATTACACAGGGCATATTAACCATGTCCCAGTAAGAAACATGCATTATGAATTCCATATTGTAATTTCCAACAGAACCAACATGACAACTGCAATGCGGCCTCGCGGTGTCGTACCGATCCAAACTACCGGCCAAGGAAGCTGATCCTACAGGACCAGCGGGCGGTAGAGATGTTGAGAAGCTTCATCCAGAAGCAGGATGTGTACAGACATCCAAGTGACTACGTGTTGGTAAGATGGCTGGTATTTCCATAGGAGCAAACCAAGAAGATTGTACTCTTTTTGTCATGCTTAGCCATATATCCTCATCACAAACTGACACATGTACTCAATGCCACCCAGCTGTGGGATAGCGGACCTGCCCATTGAGGAGCCGGGTATCTTGATTCATTTATCAAACCACAAACATGTTTCATAAAACCCCAGCGACTTCCCCTTACCCCCCCC